AGCGTTTTTAATACTTATACTAATATAATTCTTCGCTTAAATTCTTTAAGGTGGTTCTACAGTAAAGTGTCGTAAATTTAGGGTGTCTTACCAGAGCTTATCTAAAATCAAATATATCTATAAAATTTGGATAAAATATTAAAAATATGTGTATATTTTAATGAAATATTAGGTGTACAATTTAATTCTCGGCTTCTATATTCAATTGACAGCACTTATTAAATTTGAATTTTTTTTTCGCCGTGCAGTCATTTTGAAGCGTCATCTTTAAGTTTTAAAATAAGAATAGGTATCGGTACTGCGAATCTAATCTCAAAAAATAGTGAAAACTATATCGTTCGAAAAGCAGCGTTTGAGGCACTGTCTCTTTTTTTCGCGTTCCAGTTGAAGAAAACTGCCGCGGAAGCTCAAGAAATGATTTACTTTAGGCAAAAATTTATACAGTTACCTACATGTATTATAAAAAGTGATTCCAAAGATTTTGTGATGGCTATTTCAATTTTTTTCATCGTAAATTTCATCATAACAATTTCTTTTTTTTTTCGAAGCGGAATCCGACAGTTGCCTGAAAAATGATGAAAATATATTTGGAAAGTGAAGCGAATTACTTTGATTAGGTTAATATTCGTTCTTTTATAATTTTACATCAAAATTTGAAGACCAGACATTATATTACATCTATATTATAAACTTGTCTTATTGTATATCATCGAACATGAAAACCTTCTCAACAATATCAGAAAATCGCTTCAATGAACTACGTTAGTAGAAGTGTACATAGAAAAACGATGCTGAAGAAAAAAAGAAGTTGGAAGAAGAAATATCAAAAATTTCCTCAAAGACTGGCTTTAACATAGATATATATTTTAATACGTTTTGTATGAGAAGATAAAATTTTGCTTCCTCCCCCCTGTAACTGAAATCTTGCATACGCCTATGGCGAGATATAAATGCTATATTTGGAATGTGTACATGAAATATCACATTTCAGAACATTACATACACGAGTTCTATTTTATTCTTGCTTTTAATGCTTTAATGACGCGTTCAGTGTCTCTATATTAAAAATTAATGTTATTATAATAACGCAATTGTAAATTTAAAGAGATTTACAATTATTTAAAGATTTACAATTATATAATTGTCATGTGATTTTTTTATTCATTTAATTTAGAATAAATCTTCAATTTTTTGTAGTTTTAAAATTTATATATTGGCGTTTGTATTTATTTTTTATATATTTTATATAAAGTATCAAATAAAACAATGCGAAACTTTATTTCGTTCACATAATTGTCCACACTGTTCAATGGTATAATAGATTTTTATACCTTTTGTGATACGTTATGATATATTGGAAATATTTTTATAATAAAAACGATATTTTTGAAATTTATAATTTGTTATTCTATGATGGACAAATTGATTGATAGTATGCTACACAGAGATGTAACACTGTAATCAAAACTTATAGTGATCCGATTAACAAAGAAAAATATTAATAAGATATTTTTAAATTATAATAATTTTTTTATTAATTTAAATTTTTGTACAAATATAAATCATAATCCAAAGAAAAAGAAATTTAATAAAATATATGACTTATAAATTTTACTACGTATAAATTGTGTTTCTGAATAACATATTTTATTAGACATTGATATCTTTATTAAAAAATAAAATAATGAAAACTTTAAATTGTACAATTTTGCAATTTTTTTTATACTATATATATTAATAATATTGAGAGAAGGCTCGACGATAATATATAAAAATCAAATTAGTGTGACGGGCAACGAGCCAAATAACAACAATAAAATTTAAATGAACAAAGACAATATATTAAATAAAAGATAAATGATAAAAACACAAACGTTTCGACGCCGATCGGGTCATTCTCAATGTTAACAAAATTTTAAAAAATAATAAACGAAATTATTACAATAAATTCTTTAGAACAAAATTAATACAATAAAAATTCTTTAAAACATTATGCGATATGTCCAGATATTAAAATTTTTTGTAGTCAATCATTGAAGTCGTCAGATAAAAATTGCGTTAGTCCATTATTCAAAAATTCTTTAAGTTAGTCATTGTTGTGATAAAAGTATTACAATAATCGATATTATCTAAAAATTATCGCATTATAAATAAGCAAAAACAATAACAAAGATCGTTATTATGTATAATAATTAACAAAAATACCTTGTAAAAAGAATACCTTTTTACAAGGTATTTTTGTTAATTATTATACATAATAACGATCTTTGTTATTGTTTTTGCTTATTTATAATGCGATAATTTTTAGATAATATCGATTATTGTAATACTTTTATCACAACAATGACTAACTTAAAGAATTTTTGAATAATGGACTAACGCAATTTTTATCTGACGACTTCAATGATTGACTACAAAAATTTTAATATCTGGACATATCGCATAATGTTTTAAAGAATTTTTATTGTATTAATTTTGTTCTAAAGAATTTATTGTAATAATTTCGTTGATTATTTTTTAAAATTTTGTTAACATTGAGAATGACCCGATCGGCGTCGAAACGTTTGTGTTTTTATCATTTATCTTTTATTTAATATATTGTCTTTGTTCATTTAAATTTTATTGTTGTTATTTGGCTCGTTGCCCGTCATATTAATTTGACTATATATATTGTTTATTAATTTTTTTATACTGTATATATGCTATTTATATTGTATAACAAGCAATATTTGTTTAGAGGAGTAGGAAGATGCTATGGCAGCTTCGGTTGTATCACGCAACGATGAGGAGGAGTTGAATGGGGAAACAGAGTCAGAGGCCAGTAGCATATATCAAGGTTCTGTAATCTCCACCGTACCTGATCGCCATGGATTTCTAGGCGGTTCGCAATACAGTCCAGAAAGGTAATTTAAGCATAATAACATTTCAATAAGTGTTTTGGTAAAATTAAATTTTATTATAATATAATTACTTTATGAAATAGGAAACAATCTATACCACCCGATGTGATATTGCGAAGGGAGAGAAAATGGATACAGATGCTGAACAATTGGAGTCTTTTTATGACCACGAATTACCGTAAAGTTCGCGAGAGATGCCGCAAGGGTATACCACCTTCCGTGAGACTACGCGCCTGGCTAAATTTATGTGGTGGTCAGCTCTTAATGAACGAAAATCCAAATTTATATGAAGAACTAATTAAACGACCCGGTGATCCCAAGTACATAGAAGACATCAAGAAGGATCTCCATCGTCAGTTCCCACATCATGAAATGTTCGTCGAGAATGCACCTGGACAACAAGAACTGTTCCAAGTACTCAAGGCGTACTCCATTCTGAACAGTAAAGTGGGCTACTGCCAAGCTCAAGCGCCTATCGCTGCGTTTTTGCTGATGCACATGCCGGCAGTGCAAGCATTTTGGTGCCTTGTTGCGATATGCGATAAGTATCTCATCGGATATTACAGTCAGGGCATGGAAACGTTGTTACGTGATGGAGACATTCTCTTCGCTCTTTTAAAAAGAGTCTCACCCGTTGCATATAAACATCTAGTTAGTACACATGAATTCTTATGTAAATTTTTAATATAACTATATCGATCGTTTTAGAAAGGCAAATTGTAAATCAATTTTAATCATAAGTGGAATTTTTTAAAACACTTTGCAGTTGTTAATAAAATTTTTATATTTCTCGAACATAAATAAGAATTTTAGAATAACTTATTTTTAAAATTATTGTTATAGACTGATTATAAATTAATTAGGGATTTAATTAATTGTATTTACTATTTTAGAAAAAACAAAAAATGGAGCCAATCTTATATATGACGGAATGGTTTTTGTGCGTTTATACGCGAACGTTACCGTGGGAAAGTATCTTGCGCATATGGGATATGTTCCTTTGCGAGGGCGTGAAAGTGATCTTCAAAGTAGGTCTGGTACTATTGAAAGGTAGTCTGGGTCGCACTTCCCTTACTAAACGTTGTCCAACAACATACGAAACTCTTCAAGTTCTGAGAAACCCACCCCAACATATCATGGAGGAGGAGGCCTTGGTTTATCAGGTATACATTTTTTATGTAAATATAAATATTACAAAAAAAATTAAATTAATTATAAACAATTTTCATGTTTTATAAAAATAAGATATAAAATATTATATTATTTGTAACATTCTTAATGTTGCAGATTCAGAGGTTAAATTTAAGCGAAGAGGATTTTGAATATGAGCATCAGAGGCAAATGTTGAAAAGAAAAGCGGCGGAGAAAGAAACTGCCAATCGAACTGACTGATGATTAAGTAATAGTTAGACGAAGATATGGGGCGAAATGGTGACATTCTATTGTGTAGCGTCCCAACCTGTGCCTTCCTTTCTGTTCTTCTGATACTGTACAGATTTCGCAATTTGTATGTTAGAATTTTTTCACATTATAAAATCGAGAGATATGATAAAAAGCGAATAGGTACGTACACTCTTAAAATAGATAATGGATTTTCATAACTTCGTGCACACATACATAAATATACATATCCACGTTTCCTGAGCAGCTGGAGTGCATTATTTATCTCTATTCATTATTAACTTTCATTATCAGTACGTATTCTATTGAAAAAACAACAATACATTTGCAGATTCATGTAGTATTATTTAATTTAGTATTTTCTCATTAATGTATTCTTAGTTGATTATCTTCATAGTTAATATTAATATTTATGTACAAAAATTTATTGCATTTTTTAAATAAAAGTATATTATAATGTTATACTAAATATATATATATATTATCTTTTGTTATAATACCGATCTTATCTTAAAGTAAACCTTACTGATCGAACGAATTTAATTTTATTACATCTCTTTATGCTTATAATAGTACAATACTTATAAATAGCATAAAAGTACCTACAATACACTTATTTCGTATTAGTTTATACAGTAAATATTTCTTTTGCAATTACCAGTGTAATTTTTTTCTTTTTATCGATTGCGATTCAAACATTTTACACGAAACATACATTTGATAACATTTTCAATCTCTAATATAAGAACACAGTACTTTGTCTTTACGTACTCTCAGCTAGTTGTGCTAAAGTTCTGCCAGCGATTGCGTCCGTCTATGGCATTCATTACAAATGTTGTTAAACGCAAAAAATCATCATTGTCGACTACTCGCGCGTTGAAAAGTTCTAAATGTGGTAGTTTCGGTAAAAACAATACACCCATCATAAACAGAAGTGCCATGCTAATGAATGTACCGATCGCTACGAAAAGTGGATTCATAAGCTGTTTCTGAGTGCTCTCTGTGTTTTCCGTAGCTGCGTACATTGGAATCATCTGTAAAATGCAATGATGTGAATCAAATACACGTTTGTTGGCTATCATATTCCAAAAATATTTAATAAAGGGATAGAATTAAGTTTAATATGTATTTAAAAATCTGAATTAAGTTCAATAATCAAGCTTTTTCTAAGATTTGAGTAATATTTGTAAGAAATAATATTTTCATAATCATAAGGTAATTCGGGAAAAGATGCTACTTTATTTATATTTTTATTATAGAACTTCTATTGCCTGTGTGCGTAAAAGTATGTAATAAACAATGGGCAAGAAAAACGCAATTATAAAAAAGTTTATGCCAATTGATATTGACAAATATTTAACAAAATACGAAAAGGTAGGTCATAAAATATGCTTTGTATGGTATTTGGTACGCTAATAACTAAGACTTGTGCTTTGATACTTATTGTAAAACTGAACAAATGATATATGGTTTTGAATAGTGTTTCTTAGCAATCATTTAGCTAGTACAGATTATAATTTATAATATTGTTATGCGCAAAAGTTGCAATTGCATATTTCTCTAATACTCGGAAGGTAGGAGGGGGTAGGGATAATGACAGTAAATACATACTACAACTTTCCCTGTTTGATACTGTTATTAAAACGATTTTATAATCGTTATAAATATAAATAATCGGATAAAAATTTTGGTTGTTTTATATACATATATATATATATATATATATATATAATTTGAAATATTTCAAGTTAATAAAATGCTATTTAAATGAATAAAAGTATGGTATGTCCAACATGTTTCTGAATGTTTTTCATATTTCTTCAATTTATATGTTTTATCATATCTTTATGCGTTTTATAGCTTAAACTCTTGATGGACTGTAAACAAGTAAAATATACAAATATATATTGCATTTCATTATTTAATTGCTTGTGACATTTTTTCCCATAAATGGTAACATCTTATTCGTGTATAGGGAGAAGATGTCACTTTTGCAGAGTAAGACATATTAATTTTTTCCGGAATAATACGGAATATCAGAGGTTCAATTCGTTAATTTGTATCAATAAAGAAAGGTTCCTAGAATATAAATAATATTTTTTTATTGGTTAATTCAATAATATCAAGAAGTCACTTAAACTTTAATAATTTAATAATAAATATCTTTGCAAAAATATCAAAAGTTTTTATCGTAAAGAATGAAATCTTTTACAAATAGTACTCGAACTCTAAAAATGTGAAATAATCCTATCCTATTTCAATTAAGTATCTATAATATTTCGTGAAAAAAATTATCCAAAAAATAAATATATTTCGCGTTGCACAAGCTTGCACACAGCTACATTGATTTTTATGTGTATATATTTAGCATTTCGGCATAAATTAAATTAACGGATACACTAAGTAATATACTTGCGTAAAATCTAGTTACACCGGATCACCGCGCCGGGAAAAATCTGTGGCTCGCGCCTAACGGATGGCGCAACGGATTCGCGACTTTCGCTTACCGCGGCTTGGTGATGATCCCTCTGCAACTCAGACGCGAAACTTTTCAGCGGGAAGAAGTAGTAGTTGTGCATCGGTTTAACCGGTAGCTGCGGATGACCGGCCTCGGACGGCGTGTTGCCGTTGCCGTTGCCGCCTGCGGCATTGAGAGCATGCATCAACGACGCTACGCTGATCGCTGACCCTTTTTCCAAAGCCTTTTTGTATAACGCGGCCAATTCCGCTCGTGTGTATGCCAGCAGCTCCGGTTGTTTCACCTTCGGGTGACCAGTAGCGGTAGAGTCTCGTATCTGGAAAATTTGCAAGCATTAATCGCCTGTCTGGCATTTACATTCAAGAAAAAATTGGATAAATTGCTATTTTAAACAATTAAATAAATAGAGGAAGAGACAGAAGAGTAACAATTAAGAATAATTATAATTTTCAGATTACTGGAAAAAAACAATTAAGTTGAAAAAATGTTAAAATGAAAATTTACTTTTAAGAAATGTAAATAAATAATAAGAATAAAAAGATAGCAGAAAGAATTAACCAGCTTCCAAATTATACTAGAGATTAATAATAAAACTGAAAAATAGTTTGAAAATGATAAAATTGATATTTAAAAAAAATACAATAAAGAGAAAAAGATAAAAAAGACAATTATAAATAATGACCAAGTTTCCAGATTATTAACGATTAATAATTTAGATGAAAACATTGAATTTGAAGAAATCGATTTTTGAAGATTACAATAAGTAAAAAGAGACAGACAAATAGTAAAAGATTATCGAATTTTCAAGTTATTACAAATTAATAATCAAACAGAAAAAGATTGAGATTAGAAAAGATGATAATTTGAGAAATAATAAAAAGGGTAAAAAGTGAAATGAGAAAAAATAATTATCACGTTGTCAGTCTGCCAAAGATTTAAAGTGCATTCACTAATTTATACTTCTTTTTTGTAAATTAGATCTGTTTAAAGTAGATTTACGTACCGTGTAATACTTCGTAATGCCGCTGCCTGTATGTTCGACAGGCACATCCGTAATCGCCTTCTGCACATCTTGATGGACATTGTTGATACCGACCTTGCGGTGCTTATGATAGCCCTGCTGATAGCCTAGGTTCATCGACGACAATCGATCGTACATCGTTAGACTATTAGACGGCATATTTAATTCCTGGAGCTCGATCATCGCCTTCTGAAGATATTCGCCGCTCGATTCAGCAACGCCCGATCGTGCGCTGATAATGATCAATGAGATTGATACGACGAGCCGCGTTGCTCGCGATGGCTTTGATTTCCGTGATAAATTCATGCCGAATCGCTTTTATCGAATTTTTGCATCTATCAAAGGAAAATTCATCTGATGTAATAATTTATTAATACGGTTCTTTTTACATTTGTTTTATTATATTTCTTGCATATACAAGTACACTTATAATAAAGCATTTAAAACGTATAAATTTATATTATATATTATATATGTTTTTCTTATATCCAGATAGCACAGAATATTTATGATAAATATAAATAAATATTTCTATTGGATTATAAATGTCTTATTTTCGTAGCATTTACTATACATTTACAATAAATATATCATAATATTTGTAATAATGTTTATTATGTGTGCAATCTAAGATCACATAAAAATATTTACAAAATATTCAAAATAAATCTTATACGTATTTATATAAACATTTTATAAATATTGTGTGCTGTCTGAATAAGAGAAAACTATACTGACCTTCATCGAATTTGATAAAATTTGGTAGGATTATGAAAATCTTCAAATATAATAATGTAGATGACCTTATTTAGAAGCCAGTTAATCGTTTCTGAAATATTTAAGTTGAAAAAATGTTAAAATTAAAATTTACTTTTAAGAAATACAAATAAATAATAAGAATAAAAATATAGCAGAAAGAATTAACAAGCTTTCAAATTATACTAGAGATTAATAATAAAATTCAAGATGTTGTATCTAATGCAGCTGACAAAATGTAAATAAAAAAGGTCGAATCTATTTATATTTCGTGGGAATTTTTTGAAGTATGGGACGGAGGATGTGGGACAGAATTTTATTCTCTCTCAAGAATTTATTCAGAATTTTATTAAATCCAATAAAATTTTACATTCGGTCCACCATACCGGATCTATCATTTTAAATTTTGAAATTTTGATTTCAGATTCATAGCGACTTTTAAAACTTTTATTAAGACGTGAATAAAATGCTAATAATTTCTAGAAAAAGTCAGACCGAAATTATTAAAATACTCCTTTTCAAATTTTGTTTTCAAATCATAACGAAAAATGCTATGTGTAAGTATATATATGCGCGTGTTTTTAAATTAATATTTTTATGAGTAATTTTAAAAGAATAATTAAAAATTAATTGATAATTAATAATTGATTACTTAATTTCAATTCAAAGTATTGTGTATTTACATATTAAGAGGATTTCTTACGTATTTATTTATACATAATGTTCTAATCTCCGCGATACCGATAACGCAGCCGAAATACATTTTCACTTGCGAACGTCACTCGTATTTTACAAATTACATATAAGTATATTTCACAAAATATAAAAAGAGATATCTTTTAACATTACATATCATCTCTTTCGATTTCTGAACGATACAAAGATTAAAGAAAAAAAAACCGGATCTGATGCGAGAAATCCGGCGATCGCACGAGTTATTACATTATATACGTGATAAACGACAAAAGTGTTACATTATTCTGAAATTAACACCGCTTTTAATTAAGATGAGATAATATTCAGTCACACATGCAGGAGGATCAGGTTTCTCCTGCAAGAGAAAGAAAGACAGAAATGGAATTAATTTACAATTTATTTACACGAAAGGAAGAGAATTTCCATTGCGGGCCGCTTCGACATGATCGACGGATACATGTGCAACCATTCACGATAATCAAAGGGTCAAATAAATTGACCTGTGTATCGCTCTTGAAATCGCGCGCACAGGTATCTCGCGACGGACGTACGTCGCAGTCAGAAAACTTGTGTGTACTCGATCGAGGTGAATCGTCGCGCTCGTTCGCGAAGATACTATCGCGAACGCACTGAATTAACTTCCTTCACCGGTACATATCCCCCCCTCTCACGTGCATGTTTCAATTCTCGGGAATGGACACTGGGCTACTAAATACTTCCGGCTACTAAATATACAATTTGGTCGAAATAAGTGAATAAAATCAATTTAGTACAATGAAAAATAATTGGTTCAATAAATTATAAAATTCAAAATCAAAACTGAAACCGTACGATTATATTAACCTTGAATCGAATTTTATACAATAGTCGATCTTGAAAATTTTCATTAGAGCAGACCGAGGCTGACAGGTTAACAATTTAGTTTTGATTTTTATAGAAAACTTAAAAGTTCATCCAAAAAATAAAATTTTATATCAGTTATTACTGCATACATTTGACTATCTAATATTTTACTATTAGTGGAAATTGATAACTGATATAAAAGAACATTTTTTGAGTACATATTTTTTACATGTAAAAATTAGCGTCAGAACTAGAGTAACATATATGAGATAACATACATGGAATGAATTGATTACAGGATTAAAATAAAAAATAAAATATTTTATAATAATATAGATCAAACGATGTAAGCGAGAGTATTTTTCTCGGTATTTTTAGGATGAATGACAGTTTGATAACATCATGAAATTAATTCTGCGAATTCAAGGGAAAAGAAAAAAAGTAATTATTCAAGGAAAAAGGTTTTATTAATAATAATTTTATCCTTGTGTGTATTCTGAAATATAATGCTAATACTTATTTTAACAATAAAACTGGATTAAATAATTTTATATAATTATTTCAGTTTTATTGTTAAAATAAATATTAGCATTACATCGAAAGAAAATAAGTATTAGCATTATATTATCGCCTATAAGCACAATAATTTTTGTATAACAAATAATTACTTTTTTTCTCTTTTACAGATTTAAAAATCCTTTTCTGTGATTGAAATATTGTACAATAGAACCTCTTTATAGTCCACAAAAACTAGTAGTCTCACACACATACACAAGTACGAGCCCATGTCCGTTTGTACATTTTTGGGTCAAAGGTGAACACACAGACATGGGCTCGTGCTTGTGTCATGTTATAGTGCCTCGTCACGATAAAAGGCTAAACTAATAGGCGTGGAAAAGTGACGTTTTGACGAAATTGACTTCTTTGAAACGTTTGTAATCAAAGATCTTATTAAATATGTTCTTTGTGTTTATTTTAGGCTCCTTGCCCTCTGTCTCATTGTTTTGTTTTATTATTTTATTTTAACCAATATTTTATTCGATTTGGCATACGTATACAGGTAATATAACGGATGTATTCAAAACACTCGGAACCTGAATTGTATGATGCGTGACGGTTCGTATTAGATAATTTGTTTGATGCATAATAACCGGTAAACTTTTGATAAAATCTATATTTACATGTCGTATGATTCGCATATGAGATGATAATGGTTGTCAGTTTAAAATAGTTATAGCGTTATTGATATGTGCCTCTAATATCTACTGATTACCATTTTATATTATCTTCTGATAATTATCATAAAGCAAGTCAAACAAAAGTTTAAAAGAACTTTTATTCCTTTTACGAAACATAATTATTTCAAACTTCTTTTATAAGAAATAAAGACTTTACGTCTTACTTCTGAGAATAAAATTAATCCCCAGATAGCACAGAATACGTATGATAAATATTTATAACTTTACATTTTTTTGAAACATTTATATAAAAATATTTTATACATATCTTATATAAAACTTTATTTGAAATATTAAGATATACATTAAATATTTTATATAACATTTATGATAAATAAAATTAAATATTTTTAATAAGTATTTTTTAATTGGATTATAAATGTCTTATTTTCATAGCATTTACTATACATTTACAATAAATATTTTATAATATTATAGGTTGTTCGGAAAGTTTATTTCAAATTTTCTAACTCAAAATAGTATATTCTACATTCAAAAAATTAACGATTATATCATTTGATAGAGCAAAATTTCAGCTTTAAAAATCTGATTTCTTATTGCGGTACAATGATATGTAACGCAGTTATGAGCAATTAAAATCAAAATGTCCTTTACTTAACTTGTAAATGACTCAGGAACAAAAAATTGTAAGAATACGTTTAAAAAACGATTTTATAGGAAAAACTTAAAGCTTTCACGACAGGTAGTCGAAAATATTTGCACGTGAGACTCACAAAGTAAAAAGAAAATTTTTTATTTTTTTCAGCTCGTAGTTTTTTATATGTAAAATATAATGAACCTTCCGAAAATAGAGATTTCAAGTTTTAAACTGTTTTTTTAAATTTAAATTTTTTTCATTGTTTACGAAGATATTGTATATATGTATAATTTTGAGCTAGAAAATTGAAACAAATTTTCCGAACAACCTAATATTTTTATGATCATTGTTTATGATTTGTGCAATTTAAGATCACAAAAACATTGACAAAATATTCAAAATAAATTTTATGAATATTTACAAATACTTTGTAAATATTTTATAAATATCGTGTGCTATCTGGGCCGATAAAATATAATCTGTATATATCTGTGGTAATCTGTGATAAACCGACACACAAAAAAGAATAAAAAAGAATATTTAGTATTATTTTTTATGAATATCAAATTTTTTAAAAATCTTATCTGCTGATACGTACTTAAAAAATCTAAATTTTTTACATCAATTTTAATATTTATTTATCGTAAAAAGGGAAGAGAGAATCGCATTGGAAGCGCTAACGAAATAACGAAACAGAATTCACAGTAGTGCGGAATCGCGGTTCGTCGATCGACCGATACAACAGCCGTTAAATGATACATGACCGTTGATTATCCATGATTATTATTATAGGAAAGAACCTTCCGTCTTCATGAACTAGAAATCCTGATACACTTGACGAACACGATACATACGCCTTTTGATTCTTTTCAGAAGCTCTTATATGTATAAAGAATCAAAAGATATGTGCTTGCGTTGAAACCACTGTAACGAGATGAAAAATAATTAATAAAGATAAGATAAATAATATCTTGAACTACAAATTGTATAAATTCAACATTGTATAAATTTAAGAATAAATTATAATCACTTTGGAAAAGTGGCTAAAAAAT